ATCTTGTGCAATCATCAATGAAAGTCACGAAGCACTTCTTACACCCCTTGTTTGTATGTTCTTTAAATCACACAAGTCAGTGTGGATTAAGCCAAGAGGTTCGGTTGTTCTTTCAACATTAGGAGATGGCGTTTTTGTGAGTTTTGATTGCACACAAACTTCACACTTGTCTTTGCTAATTTTGCATTTGGGAATTAAGTTCGAATTCATCAGTCTTTGTACAGACTTATAATTCACATGTCCTAATCTTTCATGCCAAATATTAGAAGACTCAACCAAATAAGCAACTGGTTTCTTATTCTTATCATTTTTAGAAACAAGTACATCGTTTTTATTGAGGATGGTCATTACACATATTTTGACCAATCCTTCCTTAAAAAACATTTTCCAATGAAAACACCATTCTTCGTAAGAATCGGCTGGTCAGATTCGAAATTGATTGCAAATCCATGCTTGCTCAGCAGTGTGTCATAGATCAGATCTTTCCTCATGTCTGGAACATGCTTCACGTTTGAGAGCGTGATCTCCATTCCTGATGTCATCTTCAGCACCACCTTTCCGGTGCCTTCAATCTTGGAGTGGGACACGTTTCCCATCAATAGATGTTCATCAGTTTTGCTCTTTTGATAGATGTTGAACATATCTCTAACAATGCAGATGTGTGTGGTAGCGCCAGTATCGTACCACCATGCCCTCGAGTTTTCTTCAACCATGTTAGCTTCTGTTACGACTGCGCACAGATCAGCTTGAGTTAGGTTGGCTTGATTAACACCCTTAGCCTTACTGCGACAGTATGTAGCATGATGCCCCATCTTGCTGCAGTGGTTACACTTCCCAGAAAACTTCTTATTAGGAGCTTGAACTTGCTTCTTGAAGTTCGAGGGGGCTTGATTTGCAACTTTGTGAATTGCAGCCTTTGGAGGAAAGCCCTTTCCTTTCCCCTTTTTCTTAAACTTAGCCACATTTGCGTCATGTGTCTGAGGTGGTTCAGCTTTGTCACGTTTTTGTGACTCATTCTGAAGCTTGGTAATCAAGTTAGCCAACGACAGAGGCTTCTCCTTGTAGTTGAGGTTGCTCTTGAAACTGTCCCGGCCTGGGGGCAGCACCTCCATGAAGCAATTAACCGTGAAGGTCTCACACAGCTTCATGCCTTCATCTAATATTTGCTGGAATATCGTTTGTAGCTCATGCGCTTGATCCATGAGTGGTCTTGAGTTTGCCATCCTGAAGTTAAGGAGTTTCGCAGTTGCAAATTTTCCAGAACTCACGTTGAAGGTCTTGTATTTATTTTCGAGAGCAATCCAGACATCTCTGGAAGTCTCATAACCCTCACTGTACAGGCCGTACAGCTGATCTGAAAGGTTATTCGAGATGTAACCTTTGCATAGAAAGTCTGCATGGATCCACGTTTGGACAGTAGCAAGCATGCGCGGATCTGTATTCTCAGCAGGAAGCACTGGTTTAGTCTCAGTGAGATACTTTGCCATGTGCAACGTGGATAGAAAGAAGTGCATCCGCTTCTGCCACTGCTTGAAGTTTGTTCCATCGAACTTTTCCGGTTGAAGTCCAGCGGTTGGAATCGATGGAACCGGGTGTGGTTGACCATTCCCTTGTGAGATTGTCGGCTCACTTTTGTTCTTCGGAAGTCCAACGTCAGTAGACATTCCGAATCTAATCACAGAAACGAACTAGGTTAGTTTTTGAGACCTCAATCCAGAAAAGCGATTAAAACGTTTAATTCATTACTAATTGTTCACGGAAATCGCCTAAAGGCGTTCTTAAACCCTAATAGTCGTTTCCAGAAATCACCTAATGGTGTTCTTAAACGCTATGTATCAGATTTATAAGATCGTTTATAGACAAACGTTTCACGATCCCGCCTAGGGCTGACGCAGAAATCGTTTTGTGTCTTTATAATAATCATCTGTTTTTAAGATCAAATGTTCTATGGTTGGTTATAAGACAATCGCAGAAGCGTTGTAGATTGATCAGAAAACGTTTTAAGAAATCGTTTTGAAGAATTGTTTGCAATATTCAATCTGATTCAAGCGATTTGCAGGAAACTGATTTAAAGAATTAAGATTGTAGGACCGCAAAAATCTAGATTGAAAATCACGAATCAAAGAATAATTAAAATCAGTAATAAATGATAATAATTTATAAAACATTTTAATAAAATTTTTAAGGAAAGACGATACACGGAGTCGAGATATGATTTATCTCCTTAATTCTTTAAGTCTCCCGCAGTGTGGCGGTTTGGTGAGATTCAGAATCCCAGGATACAACCGTGTTGAGACTAAAGTCGCAGCACTCGACTATAGAATCTGCGAACTTAATAATCTACGCTATACTCTCGAGACTTACCTAAGACTGTAGAGACGAGAGGGATTTGCTGGATATTTGTGTTTTTGAAAGCTATGTGTTTCACTGATGATGAATAATGAATGAGAGAGGCGAGTATATATAGCGGATGGAAGGATTGGGGCGCAAGGGTTTGCCTTGGCCGCCACTCTAAGATAAACAGAAATATTCTGAAAATCTTCTATTCCTTTATCGCAAAGAATAAGAGAAACGGAAATATTCCAGAAATCTTTTATTCCTTTTCCGATAAGGATCTGGGCGAAACAGGAATATTCTGTTATTAATTTTTGACTCAATCATTAAGATTTATTGATTTATGTAAATTATCTTTAAAGAATATTAACATATTTGTAAAAATAAGTTAATAAATATTTACTCCAAAAAAAACATCTTGTTGTGGGCTAAAGCCCACTAAGACCCAAGACCGGCCCGGCACGGCGCACACCCGTGTGTGTGTAGTTTTGCATAACAGTCCTTTCTCTCCTTCTCCATAGTGTCCTCTTCTCAAATCTAGTGAACCTTGATGAGAGTGTATCACTATATATACTAGTGGAAAATTCTTCAATCTTTCGATGTGGGACAAATGCTCATCTTGACATTTGTTAACTTTTTGTCTTGATTACATGCCCACTTTGACCAAAGATTTCTCATTCAAATCAATTTCGTTTTTGACAAGTGAATACATTATCTTATAGTACTCATTACAAGGAATCCAAAGAATCCATAATCTGGTCATTTCAATAATTGTGCTCACCGAAAATGTCGCCGGAAAACTGGCCTGAGCCATTTGTCAAAAATAAGTTCCAACAAAAAGCTCCTTCAATAGTCAGTAGTTGTTTAAGTGATATAAGATTGGAATCACATCAAATCTTATTGATCACAAGATGTCAAGAGTTGACTAGTTTGATGAAAAGTAGATGAAATAGAGATGACAACTAAGATAAGCCACTGACTTGCTAAGTTAGTGGACGAACTACCTTGTCTGAATCCCACAAACAATTTAAATTTATGACTTCTAGAGATTAGAAGTGAATCACACACTTGTATTCAAAAGAACAATATAACAAAGCTCATATTTTTAGAGAAAATTCTCTTTTAATTTTCAAAAATTTCTATATATTTTGCAAATGAGAATAAATAAGCTTTTATAGCTCTTACCAAAAAAATTTACAATAAACTATATTTAAATTAAATTAAATAGATTTCGAGAATAGTAAAAAAAAAAGTGACAAACCTTTATATAAATGAAATGATAGCAAAAAAAGAAAGATATGTGCTGTTATCTCTAATACGAAATAGTAAACGATTAGAATCACACTAAATGTTATTGATCACAAGATGTCAAGAGTTAAGATAGGTGACTGACTCGTTCATTTAGTGGACAAACTAGCTTGTCTGAATAACACTAATGATCTAAATTTGTGGCTTCTAGATAATATAAGTGAATCATACACTTGTATTTAAAAGAACAAGATACTAAAACCTAAACTTTTAAAGAAAATTCTTTCTTACTTTAGAAAACTTAATATTTATTTTACTAGTGAAAATAAATGAACTTTTGTAGTTCTTACATAAAATCTTTATAATAAATTATATTTAAATTAACTTATTTATATTTAATCAAAAAGAGAAAATTCAGCTAAATTAAATAATAGCCTACTCGCCATTAATTTTGCCTTGGACAATTAAGATCTTTTAACTTTTTGACATTATAAACATGAGATTCTGATAATAAATCCACAAATTAAATAAAGATATTTGATATACTGTTTTAGATATTTATCATTAAAGATTTATTAATAAGGACACAAATTTACATTCAGCTTTTTATTGTTGTTAGTAACGCTTTCCGTATGTTTATAATAGACACAAATTTATTAATTTATACTACCAAAAAGCTACAATATAATTTATACCGTTTTAATAGTTATTAATCATAAAAACAGTACGATTAATAATATTATATTCAGCTTTTTTATACCGTTTTAACTTACAGTTCTTTTTTACAGTTTTTAACTATTTTAATAATCACTTATCACTACAGTTTACCACTAAAAGAATCAACTTACCGTTAAAAATCCATTACGTTACCAATCAGTGGGATACCCATAAGCGATTCTGCGTTATACAGTTGTCATGTTAGAATTTTCATAATTTGTCATAGAATAATAAATTAGTATTAAAAGAAAAATTAGGTTATAAAAGGTATTCAATTGGGCGTATAAAAAATAACTAAAAATGATTTATTAGAATATGGGGCATTTGACATTATTTGTGATGGAGCATTTGAATTTTAAACAATTAGTCCGAATATTTATACGTCTGTAATACAAAAGAAATTTGTGTCATTATCTCTCTTTTTTTGGGTCAAATTTTGTGCCCTTATCTAAATGAAAAAATATACATATAATAAGATGGATGTATATCCCAATAAGATTCATATGTAAAATACGTGTGTGTCTGTATATTCTGTTTCCTCAAATACGTTTGTATATATGTATAAGTTAACTTACAAAAAAATATATTCTCTTTATTTCCGGGGGAAAAAATGTAAATATTCGACATCCATGCAATTTTTATATATATTAAAAACTCTTGCAAACGCTAAGGCAGCAAAATCTTAAAATTGCTCTTTCACGATGATAAACTTGGAGGAAGAAACAAACGAAAAGCAAAGATTTTTTCGTGAGGTGGGGAAAAGAGTTCAACAAATAAAGCCGGAATATACAGAGTTAGTCGTGAAGATCGTTCAAGGATTCACAATCGATACGCAACCATACGAGGGTTTTGGGTACTTTAGAGTTATGGCATGGACAGACGCAGAAGATCAGTACGGAACAGAAGTGGTGAAGTCTTTCAAAGGCATCCATTACTTTAAAAACCAAAAACTTGTGATTCCTTTAGATTCTCCTGCAGATCAATATCTTTACATTGAATTGCTAAGAGGGATTTCAAAGAAAGATCCCGGAACATCGAACGGTACTACTGTGATGGGTCGGGCAAAGATTAAACTGCCTCCTCGAAGCAGCCGTCGCGAGGTCACCTCTATGGTCGAGCTCGTTGGTTTGAACAATGGTCGATGTGTAGTTGTTAAGGGACGCCTAGAGCTTTCTATGAAACTTCATAGATATGTAATGTGATATGCGTATTATCTAATTAAGTGCTCTTTGATTAATGAGTTTGGTTTTTATCTAATATAATTTATGTTTGATGCATATCTAGTGATGTTTATGAAATTATGAACAATAAATAATATGCTTTATCTTTAATCGAATTTTGTATACTGTTTGTTTGGTTTAACCAAAAAGTAATAGGACAGAGATTTCAGAGAAGAAAAGAAAAAACAGTAGAAAAAATAGATTAGAAAATCTAGCTTATTGGTTTTATCTTTTTACAGTTACGCTTTCCTATAAACAACCCGGGTTTACCTACCTCGTTGGGCTTCATTTCTGTGAGTGAGACTCTAACAAACTGAGCCAACGTGTCTTCTCTATCTTCATCGAAAAGCAGACGGCCAAGCTTGAAATCGACGTGGTACAGTTGAGCGGTGGTTCTCGGTTTCCGATGTATCTAGATTTCAGTGTATATGTTGGTTCCGAGAATGGGCCAAGACCTGATCGATAATTCTGACGGTAATCTCGCTGGACCTAATCGAAACCAAAAGCATATTGACTCGTTAGACAAGTTACATGTCATGATGGTAACCCTAACAAGTGTCGAAGTGTTTAGTAATGTTTTGATATTTGAAGTGTTTCAAAATGTTTTGAACCAATTTTATTTAATAACAATCGTCCAAAAGAATATAATTAATAATGTCTACAAGCAAGTGGTTAGTTTTAATAATTTTGATCTTATACTAATGAATCAACCTATTTATATAATTATATTAAATCAACATTTAAATATCTTCAAAATGGGCATTTGAGATTAGTTTGAGGGTTGGGAGCATTTAAACATCTATACAAAAATAAATTGTGTCATTAAATATATATTTTCTATTTAGATAATGACAATCTTCTTTAAAATTCATATAAAATATCCAAATATATACACACGTATCTAACAAATTAATATATATATCCCAATAAGATTCATATAAAATACGTATGTATATATCTAACGATTAAAAAATATATACTCTTTATTTCCCGAGAAAAAAAAGAACTGCAAATATTCCACATCCATGAAATCTCTAAATATATTTGAAAAACTTGCAAATCCTAAGACAGCAAAATCTTAAATTACTATTTCACGATGATAAACTTAGAGGGAGAAGCAAACGAAAAACAAAGATTTTTTCGTGATGCGGGGAAAAGAGTTCAACAAATAAAGCCGGTTAACACAGAGTTAGTCGTGAAGATCATTAAAGGATTCACAACCGATACGCAACCTTACGAGGGTCCTGAGTACTTTAAAGTCGTGGCATGGACAGACGCAGAAGATCAGCACGGAACACAAGTGGTGAAGTCTTTCAATGGCCTCCATTGGTTCAATAACGTCCAAAAACTTGTGATTCCCATAGATTCTCCTGCAGATCAATATCTTTATATTGAATTTCTAAGAGGGTATTCGAAGAAAGATCCCGGAACATCAAACGGTACTACTGTGATGGGTCGAGCAAAGATTAAATTGCCTCCTCGGAGCAGCCGTCGCGAGGTCACCTCTAATGTCGACCTCGTCGGTTTGAACAGTGATCGATGTGTAGTTTTTAAGGGACGCCTAGAGTTTTCTATGAAGCTTCATAGATACGTGAACGTGATATGAGTGTTATCTAATTAAGTGTTCTTTGATTATTGAGTTTGGTTTTTTATTTTACTTTTTCAATCGTTTTTTTGTTTGACAGAGGTCCTTAACTAATAAGAGTTCTTTATAAACATGTGTTTGATTGACCCTTTTGATTAATGATTCAATATGTGTTATCTTCTATCCCATCTACTTATGTGTTACCTTAACAACACCAACATACAATAGTAGACTACACCATCTCTCATCCAATTAATAAATTGCTAGTTTCCAAACTAAAGCAGTCAACAAAATTTTTGGATGAAAATCAAATGGTCGGCATAATCGTCACACAGTCACGTAGTCGTGGAGTAATATTCCGGAGATCAGCAAATAGAAGATGAGTTGGTTTAACTCCAAAGTACTGTAGTTGGTTTTGACATTTGCTGCATTTATTGTAAAAAAGAATTTTGACTGGATTTCTGAGACCGTAATGATCCGATCGTGAAATAGTTGCAGAAAAAACCAACAAATGTTTTTCAAATGGTCAGCAGTTAAAAAATTCCAATCTTATGAACAATGTTTTTCCTTGATGTTTTTCAAGTGGAGTCCATGCACGAGTAAGACGAAATCAAATCACTTGCAAGTTGGACACAAAACGACACCGTACTGTATTATCGACATTCGACTGTAGTAATTTCGTCTAAACCTTCTTTTGGTTTTGCTTGACCTGAAAAAGTAAGTCAACGGTTGACCCGTAGACTCACTCACCAGTCACACCACCCATAGCTTGCAATTGACCACTAATTTAACTCTAAAGACGGTGAGATGATGGAGGTTCAAATATTCAATGCAGAATCGATGTGGATGTTTTGTAATTTGTAGCTTTTTGGTTTGATTCTTTACGCAAATGACTTAAAAGTCACATTGATCATCCTTTTCTCTTATCTTCGCGTCTCTGTCATTCTCAATTATTCAATAATTCTTATTTATCAGTTCCGATGATCTGTCACGCTTTGATCATTCTCTCCGTTCTAGTCTCCGCCGCCTCCGTCGGAGAAGGATCAACGCCGGCGTACACTCCCACCGATGTCTTTCTCTTCAACTGCGGCGCTACCGCCGACAGCATCGACAACGATGGCCGGAATTGGGCGGCGGAGAATCCGGAAATTCTGTCTTCGGATTACGCCGACGCGTCGTTCCCTTCGGAAGCATCGTTCCAAGACTCGGGGGTTCCTCAGGTGCCCTACATGACTGCTCGGATTTTCGAATTCGATTCCACTTACAGTTTTCCAGTCTCTCCCGGCTGGAAATTCCTCCGGCTATACTTTTACCCGAACCGTTACAAAAATGGTGGTTTCCGTGCCGTCAATTGTTTATTCTCCGTCACCGTCAATGGTTTTACTCTTTTGAACGACTTCACTGCCGATTTAACGGTAAGGGCTACGAAACCGAATTCAAAATCATTAATCAAAGAGTTTATCGTTCCGGTTAATAACCGGACTCTGAACCTCACCTTCAAGCCGTCTTCGAATTCGTTTGCTTTCGTTAACGGAATAGAGATTGTCTCCATGCCTGATCGGCTTTACTCCAAGGGTGGATTTGACGACAGGATAACATACGTCGGTAGCACAGCGGCTTACGAGACAGTTCACTTCATGATAGACAACACAACGGCTTTGGAGACCGTTTACCGGTTAAACGTCGGCGGACAAAGCGTGGGCGATACGGGAATGTTCCGCCGGTGGGTTTCCGACGATGAGTTCATACTCAATGAAGCTTCGGGACTCATTACGGTGGGTCCGGCTGTGGAGATAAACTACACGGAGAAAACTCCGGCGTACGTTGCCCCCGAAGATGTTTACAAGACGTTCCGCACGATGGGGAACGTCGAGAACCCTAAACTCAACTTGAATTTTAACTTGACATGGCATTTGAGTGTCGACGCCGGGTTTACCTACCTCGTTAGGCTTCATTTCTGTGAGACTATGTTCGAGGTAACCGAACCGGGCCAACGCGTCTTCTCTATCTTCTTAAGAAACCAGATGGCTAAGCTTGAAACCGACGTGATTCACTTGAGTGGTGGTTCTCGGATTCCGGTGTATCTTGATTTCAGTGTATATGTTGGTTCCAGTAATGGCCCAAGACCTGATCTACGGCTAGACTTGCATCCTTTCAGCGCCGTGAAGCCAACGTATCTCGACGCTATTCTCAATGGTTTGGAGATTCTCAAGGTGAATAATTCTGAAGGTAACCTCGCTGGACCTAATCCAGACCAAGAACCTATGGACTCAAAGGGTAATCTCGCTAGACCTAATCCCAACCCAGAAACATTGGGCGGCAAGTTACATGTCAGGATGTTAGCCCTAACAGCTGTTGGTTCTTCGATTGGTCTGGTGGCTTTCATTGTTGTCGTCATGTTGTTGATACGTCGTATGAAGAGGAGGAAGAAGAATATGAAGGACAATAGTGTCGTCATGTTCAAGGTACTACTCAAACATTACACTTACGCAGAATTGAAGAAAACTACAAAGTCGTTTTCACACACCATTGGAAAGGGAGGATTTGGAACCGTTTATGGTGGAAACCTTTGTAACGGTCGTAAGGTTGCAGTGAAGGTCTTGAAGGATTCGAAGGGAAATGGTGAAGATTTCATCAACGAAGTTGTCAGCATGAGTCAAACATCTCATGTAAATATTGTTTCTCTGCTTGGTTTCTGCTATGAAGGGTCCAAAAGAGCGATTGTATATGAGTTTCTAGAGAATGGGTCATTAGATCAGTTCATCTCTAGAAAGAAGCCATTGCCTCTGGATGTGGCAACACTATATGGAATCGCATTAGGAGTTGCTCGGGGATTGGAGTACTTGCACTACGGCTGCAAAACAAGGATTGTGCATTTCGACATTAAACCTCAGAATATTCTGTTAGATGGCAATCTTTGTCCTAAAGTCTCAGACTTTGGTCTTGCTAAACTTTGTGAGAAAAGAGAAAGCATTATGTCAATGATGGACACAAGAGGAACTATAGGTTACATTGCACCTGAGGTGTTCTCAAGGATGTACGGCGAAATCTCTCACAAGTCAGATGTCTATAGCTATGGAATGTTGGTCCTCGAGATGATCGGAGCAAGAAACAAAGAAGTAGTTGAAACCACAGCTTTTGATGCTGGCTCAGCTTACTTTCCCGATTGGATCTATAAGGATCTTGAAAATGGTGAACACACGTGGATGCTTGGAGATGAAATAACCAAAGAAGAAAAAGAGATTGCAAAGAAGATGGTCTTGGTGAGTCTATGGTGTATTCAACCTTGCCCATCAGATCGTCCATCGATGAACAGAGTCGTTGAGATGATAGAGGGAAGTTTGGATGCTCTTGAGATTCCTCGTAAGCCTTCTATGCATTTTTCCACAAGGCTTACTCTTGAATCTTCTTCACTTCCTGAATCTTCTTCACTTCCTTCACCTTTTTAATGGCATGTTTTGTTAATATGATTAGACAAGAAAAAAAATTTAAAAGATGAGAAACATTTTGAAAGCCTTTTCTTATTCTTTATTAATAAATGTCAAAACTATAATAACTCAATAAGATCAAAATTCTAAACAACACATTTATAATAAAACTTCAAAACTCTGAAACTCTAAAACATATAGATCTAATTAAAATAGTATAGTGATCAAATATTTTCTAAAATTAATCTGATAGCATCAGTTGAATCTTGAACAGCCTACAATTTAGGTTGGAAAGCAATTAATAGAGTATGATTAATGCACAGTTTTTAGGAAGTTCTAAAGAAAAAAAGAAAAAAGAAAATAAAATAAATACTGACGTGGTGAAACTGAAATGTGAAGTCGACTCTCTCTCCGCAGAGATTGTAGGATCGATTTTCGATGACGTGGTAAGACGTAACTTGTCGATTTTTTTTTTCTTTTTGAAAATCAATTTTTTAATAATATAAAAATTTGAAGAGTTTTTGAGCTCTCTGATGCAGATGCTCTAAGGAAGCACACAATAATCTCCATCCTCGAATCTTAAATAATCTTGTTAATGGTCCACCAATGCATATGTAGATTTTGATTCTTTGCTAACAAATATTCCATTGGAGGATTCACACTACTTGATGGTAAGTTGAAAGCCAAAAGCATCAAAAAAATTCGAGAAGACACCATCACATAATTGGTGAATGTGCTAGACATGCAGGTTGTGTAAATGTTTTTTTAAAAAAATTGAAATGTAAAATTTATTCATATATGTGTGTTATTACTTTTTACATCGAATGCATCCAATATTGAGTTATTTACATAGGAGCACACTTATACCACTTTGTCTTTCAATAAAGGCACTTCTTGAAAGTAAGGCAATTTTTTTGCTATAGACAAAGTCCATTCTATCCTTTTAACAAAAAGAGGTTGTGGGTTAAAATTACAGTTAGAAAAAATTCACTTGAGAAAAATAATGTTTTGTTCTTGTACTTATTCTTCTTACTTTTTGTTTTATATTTGAGACATCTTTTTTTACTGTTCTGATATATATAATGAAGGAATGTAGAAAAAAAAAAAATTGCTTGATTGTGATTCGTAGTGTTATACGTGGCGGAGGAAAACAATTTGCAACTTGATATTGATAGAGTCAGATATGGCGGAGAAGACAAGTACACAATTGTTTGTCCAGATCTGAAATTTTCAATATTAAAAATTGTCCAGATCTGAAGTTTTTAATATTAAAAAGATGAACTGATGTCATTTTTGATTGTAGATCCATTATAGTTAAGTAAAATATCATACAAAAACAAACGAATTCGATAATAGTGGTGGAATTTAAATCAAAGGCGGCTTAAAATTAAGTTAAAATGTTATGGATCCAAAAAAGAAGACAAGGGCAAAAGTGTAATTTCTATTGTGGTACATTGGACAATGGTTAATGTGGTGTGGTCAACATTGTATAATTGGACAATGGTTATTATGGTGTGGTCAGCATTGTGTAGCCAATGATGTTTGGTCAATGTTGCATGGTGAATGAAGAACTAAACTAGAATCATAAATAGTGATGGATCGATGAAATGTTCGAAGCTTATAGATGATCGATTGTGGATAGTATTATTAATTACACCATCAATGATTTGATATAATTTATGTCCACAACAGCCTTGCATTATAGGAAACATATCAATATCAACCTCTTAACGATGACCATATAAATATGTCCATGATAACATGTTCATGACAACTTCATATATCAACTTCACACTTTGAAGAAGAATGTCTATCTATAACATGTCCACAGAGGCAGCTTGTCTACATCAACCTGTCCACGGAATCTTGTCCACGATAAACTGTCCACGACAATTTGTCCACATCAACCTCTCCACGATAACTTGTCCATTTCAACTTGATTTTCGATTACATAAATTGTAATTTACAATTTTGCCCTTATCTTCTTCTTTGGCTTTGCAACACTCTAACCTAATTTGCAGCCGTTTTTTATTTTATTTTCACTACAATTATCAGATTTGCTTGTTTTTATATGATTTGATACATAACTAATATCTACAATATAATTTTTGATTTTGAAATTAAAAATCATTAAAAAATGAACAATTAGAGTAAAAGGAGAAAAGTTAAAATAACTGTAAGATAAAAATGGTGGTTGTGAAATTGTTGGAATTTTGCTATAACGAAAATGGTGATGCTGGATTTGTGGTATTAACGATAATAGATTTGTGAGAACTGAGAACTGATTTTATTTTTGTGGTATTTGAAAAAGAGAAAGGTAAAATAAGAGAATAGAAATCAAACTAATTATAAGGAAAGGAAGGAGATTTTACACCCACAAAGTGTCCATCTTTCAAAAAGTGTCTCAAATGTAATAGGTTTCGAAGAAAGTGCCTATGAATGTAAATATTTCTCCAAAATTTGAGTTTTAGAAGTGAAACTTGAAATAGGGCTGGTTTCATCCACTTTTTTAAAATCTAGTGTAACGTTTGTAAAAAAAAAAAGTAATGGTTTATTCCCTTACCAACTAAACTCTGACGTGGATCTGACGTGTGGACCTAAACCAAATTAGATTTCATTTGATTATTTGTTTTCTCAAGAAAATATACCATCGTGGAGGAAAAGAAACAACACCAAATTCGATTTTACATGGCTAGAAAATAAGATCCTTTTTGACAGAACACTTGATTCCTAAAATTCTCTATCGAAACCTTACAGAAACGAGAAAACCCAAAAAAAAAGTTGGGATTTTTTAAAAAATCTTTGAGATGGGCAACAAGAGACTGTTGACTGGTACAACGTCAAGCAGAGGTTATGGTAGCGGAAGCTACAGAGATCCTCTGTTGCAGAACCAGGTCTGCTTTTTCCAATTTCCAATTCCATAAACCTTTCTTCTTTGTCGCTATCATGTAGATGATTCATGCTTTCGTAAAGTTAAGTTTCATGATCGATTGAAAGTTTCGTACTTTGTTCACCCAGTTTCTGGAAGTTGAGCCAAATTATCAAAAATTTCTTAATTTTTTACTGTTATTGGAAGAACTGTGGTCTTCCGAGCACTCGCAAGTGTTATGTGAGTTAAAATCACTGTTCAATTCAAAGAATCTGGTTAGTTTCTGAAGCATAGGGTTCTCGCTTGACAAGTGAAGTGATCATTCGATTGGAACAATTCGATTGTCCTAACGGAAAAATGACATTCAAAGTTTGATTCTTGAATGAGATTTTGCCAAATGTGTTACTCATTCTTCTTTACTGTATGCAGGACAAAACAAAAGCGAATGGTGAGGAAACAAGCGAGAATGGTCCAAATGATCTCGAGCACGGTGTAGTTGAGGTGTGTACATGTGCTTTTGCTGTTTTACAGAGACTTTTCATCTATAGAAATGAAATTTTCTTATTTGTCTTTTCAGGCAGCAAATGTCGGATTTGGAAGAGTCTTCTCGTTGGTGAGTGGTTCTTGGTTTAGAAAAAGCGTTAAGCATTCTTACATTTAAAGATTCGTCCATAATCGAACATTATGGTTGCAGGCAAAGCCTGATGCAGGGAAGCTAGTGATTGGTACCATTGCTTTGTTGATAGCTTCAACAACTAATCTCCTCGTTGTATGTCTCATCTTTCCATCTTCGACTTCCTATTTGTAGATCTCTTATTAGAATTATGAGAGCTACAATTTTTTATGTTATGCAGCCAAAATTTGGTGGAATGATTATAGACATTGTGTCCAGAGATGTCAAGACGCCTGAACAGCAATCAGAATCCATTCGTGCTGTTAGAAACGCCGTAGTAATCATCTTGCTTATCGTTGTAATCGGGTGATTAACCACAGCTTTCAAAAAACCTTCCTTTATCCTTTAGAGTTTTGGTTTTGTCTATAACTTTTACTTCTCTATTTTCTTTAGATCGTGTTGCACAGCTTTGCGAGCGTGGCTATTTAACTCTGCCAGCGAAAGAGTTGTGGCTCGACTGAGAAAAGATTTGTTCAAACATCTAATGCATCAGGTAAAGAACTTGACTCAAACACATTTCTCAAGATTTTTATGACTTGCTAATATTAGTATTTCATGCACTGTCTGTGACTTTTGATATCTTTAAGTGTTTTTGTTTCTCTCTCTGCTAACAGGAAATAGCATTTTATGATGTCACGAAAACCGGAGAACTCTTAAGTAGACTATCTGAAGACACTCAAATCATTAAAAACGCTGCTACTACGAATCTCTCTGAAGCTCTTCGTAATGTAACAACCGCACTTATTGGAGTTGGTTTCATGTTTTCATCATCTTGGAAACTAACATGTAAGAAAGCTTCTCTTCTCTTTTGTACTAATAGAAGGAATTAAAAAACACTGAAGTAATCTTCTTGTTCATCAATCATATGTTTTTTTTCCAGTGTTGGCACTAGTAGTGGTTCCACTAATCTCAGTTTCTGTGAAACAATTCGGTCGATATCTCCGTGAACTTTCGCACAAAACTCAAGCAGCAGCTGCTGTTGCTGCATCAATTGCTGAGGTTATCTTTTTGTCCTGTTTCTCATATAGATGTTTGTTTTTTGTGTTAGTATTTGAATCTGGAATTGGATCAATGTTTAGGAATCATTTGGCGCAATCCGAACAGTTAGATCTTTTGCGAAGGAAGGTTATATGGTATCACAATACTCAAAGAAAGTTGATGAGACTCTGAAGCTAGGACTCAAACAAGCTGTGAGTCTTTGTGACACAAACCATTTCCTAAGTTTAAATTCTTTTTGATGTTTCTTTTAGAGGACATATGTGTTTTTGATTGATATAGGTTCTTGTCGGATTGTTCTTTGGAGGACTAAACGCAGCATTCACATTATCTGTTATTACGGTTGTTAGTTATGGAGCGTACTTAACAATAACTGGTTCCATGACCGTTGGAGCACTCACTTCCTTCATTCTTTATAGCCTCACAGGTTTCATTTGCATTCTTGTTTCTTGATCTGTAACTTTTGAAGGAACTATTGTATTAAACTAACGTATATACTGTGTTTTTGGCAGTTGGTTCATCTGTATCTTCTTTATCGAGTTTGTACACAACTGCAATGAAAGCTGCAGGCGCTAGTAGACGTGTTTTTCAGATCTTGGACCGTGTTTCTAGCATGCCAAGTTCAGGGGATGAGTGTCCCGTTGGGTGAGATTTCTTCTCAGAATTTCGCAAGTCATTTTCTATATCATAAGAACACTTTAGGTTTATATCTTGGGAATGTTATGGTTGCAGCAATCCTGATGGAGATGTGGAAATAAATGATGTTTGGTTTGCTTATCCTTCTCGCCCTAGTCACATGATACTTAAGGTAACACATAATTATATCCTTCAACTTATAAACATTTACCACGATCAATGTTTTAAAACTTTAGAACAAATAAAGGTTTAGTTTTTTCTTGTAATTTTCTTGACTCCAGAGTTACAAAATTGGCAGATTCTTGAGCAATAACTATACATTTGAGAGGATTATAACCGAATTCTTGAAGCTGTTTCAATGTTAATCGGGAATATGTGCAGGGAATATCGTTGAGGTTGACACCAGGTTCAAAAGTAGCACTTGTAGGACCAAGTGGTGGAGGAAAAGTAAGTTCTTACCATATAGTTTTTCTGATTGTGCACACTCATAAGCTCGTAGCAATGAATCTTTTTGATGTTTTCCATTTGCAATATTGCAGACGACCATAGCCAATTTGATAGAGAGATTCTATGATCCTGTCAAGGGAAAGATTTTGCTCAATGGAGTTTCTTTGATGCAAATATCCCATCAATACCTTCACAAACAGGTAAAATTTCTCTGTTTCTTGAATCTTAAGTCATTCATGTCTATACACATATTTGGTGAACCTCGAATCTTGAATTTCTCCAGATTCGTTTCAGATCAGCATTGTTAGTCAAGAACCGATTCTTTTCAACTGTTCAATCGAAGAGAACATCGCTTATGGATTCGACGGTGAAGCTAGTCCTTCAGATGTAGAAAATGCATCTGTAAGCACATCCCACAAATCTCTTGATTGAGACTCCTTTGTGTGCTGATCAAAGATTCAAATTGGAAATCTTGTTGCAGAAAATGGCGAATGCACACGAGTTCATAGAAACGTTCCCGGATAAGTACAAAACCGTTGTTGGAGAACGCGGAATACGTCTCTCAGGAGGACAGAAACAGAGGATTGCAATCGCTAGGGCGCTTCTTACAAACCCTAGCGTCTTGCTTCTTGATGAAGCAACAAGTGCACTAGACGCTGAAAGCGAGTATCTTGTTCAGGTAACACAACAGAGCTTTGAAATCAAGAATTCATAGAAACTCAAGAACTTGCTCATATCTTGAATCTTGTTTTCAGGATGCGATGGACTCGTTGATGGCGGGAAGAACGGTTCTGGTGATAGCTCATAGGTTATCGACGGTTAAGACTGCAGACTGTGTGGCGGTTATATCAGATGGTCAAGTGGCTGAGAAAGGCACTCATGATGAGCTTTTGAGCTTAAATGGAATCTACACTAATCTTGTCAAGAGGCAGCTTCAGAGCTCTTCCTCCGTAAATGTAACCAACTTGTGAGATAGTATTGTTCTTCTGAGCAACAACAACAACAAGAAAGAAGAAACCACTCGAGCGAAAGAGTGCGAGCAAGAGTAAGAGAGTATTATTCTCTTAGCGATTTCTTTTACTCTCGTACGCGCTTTGTTTGCTCGAATTTGTATGGATTCAGAAAACGAAATAGCAAAGCATAATAAAAAGAAGAACACAAAGGAATTTGTGAGAGAAATGTCTGTATCTTAGTTACTTGCAATGAAAGAGACGCTGATACAAAAGCTTTTATGCTCTTTTGGATCCTCTAATGGCAAACCCTCTAACGCGACTAGAGGATTAGCCTGTACTCTAATGCGAGTAGGGGTTTTCCGATCTGATCTGCGACTACGAATCATTCTGAATCTCTTCGTAATGTAACATCCGCGCTTATCGAAGTTGGTTTCACGTTTACATAATCTTGAAAACTAACATGTAAGAAGCTAATCTTCTCTTTTGTACTAATAGATGGAAAAAAAAAACCATTGACTCATCTTCTTGTTCATCAATCATGTTTTTTTTCCTGTGTTGGAACTAGTAGTGGTTCCATTAATCTCAGTTTCTGTAAAACAATTTGGTCGATATCTCCGTGAACTTTGGCACAAACCTCAAGCAGCAGCTTCTGTTGCTGCATCAATTGCCGATGTTTTGGCATGTCCTGTTAGTATTTGAAACTGGAATTGGATCAATGTTTAGGAATCTTTTGGCACAATCCGAACAGTTAGATTTTTTTTTTTTGCAAGAATGATCTTTATGCTCTTAAGTTGACGGGTCCATTTGTTAAAATACTTCAGATGGTTGATGGAAAAAAAAAAAAAATCACTTATCAGATGTATTTATAAGGATACAACTACATAGACAATTTCAACGAGTTTCAATATAAGATAAGAAAAAAACTACAAGAAAGTTTTTGAGATCATTGAAAAATATGTGATTGTCATCTTCATCAATCTTTGCATGCAGCTGGTTGTTTTCTAAACCCGACGTTCCAGCACAACTATCTTCATCTTCTACAGCACAACAAAAAAAACAGGCCAATGGTATGTTCCATATCTTATCATCCTGGTCAATCAATAAGCAGTTTTTTTTATGATTTATATTAGTTTACAAACGGTAGAAACTATATGGGTTTATTTTAGTTTATAATGTAGAAAAGTAATGGTTTATTTATCTAATCCCTTACCAACTAAGTACGTAGATACTAGATAGACTTTTGGAAACAAAAAAAAATAGTGGCTAATTTCCTTACCAACTAAACCTGACGCGTGTTAGTGGGAATTGAGGGAATACATGTTACATCACTATTTTCTTGAGGAAACAAATAATCCAATGAAATCTCTAATTTAATTTTAGGTCCACTCTAACACGTAGAGTGTTGGTAAGGGGAATAAAAAAAAAATCATTACTTTTCTACAACAAAAATTGAAATAAACAAGAAACTATTGACTGGGCAACAAGAAACTATTGAAAACTGATTCATAAGAAACCCCATGGAAATCAAAGTTTAATCTGGCTTAAAATTACTGTTCATTTCGACAATTAGAAGAGTCTTTGTTAGATTTTGAAGCATATGCTTCTCACATGACAAGTCATTCTTCTTTACCTTATTCAGGATAAAACGAAAGAAAATGGAGAGCAGACAAATGAAAATGGTCCAAATGATCTCGAGCATGGTGTAGTTGAGGCATGTGCTTGTGCTATTTTACATAGAAAATTTTCATATATAGAAGTGAAATTGATCTTATTTGGTTTTTCAGACAGCAAATGTCGGATTTGGGAGAGTCTTTTCATTGGTGAGTAATTCTTGGTCAGAAAAAAACGTGTAACATTCTTATATAAAGATATATTAATACACAAATATTATGGTCTCAGGCGAAGCCCGATGCCGGAAAGCTAGTGCTCGGTACCATTGCTTTATTGATAGCTTCTACAACTAATCTTCTCGTTGTATGTTTCATCTCTACTTCATATTTTTCATTTTCTTTATTCGTTCATATCAATTTTTAGAATTATGAAAGCTGATTTTTTTATGTTGTCATGCAGCCAAAATTTGGTGGAATGATTATCGACATTGCATCTAGAGATGTCAAGACGCATGAACAGCAAGCGGAATCCATTCGCGCAGTTAGAAATGCCGTAATAATCATTTTGCTTATCGTTGTAATCGGGTAATAACATCTTCAAAAGTCTTCCTTAGTCCTCCTCTCTTGATCTATAGAGAATTAGTTTTGACTAACTTATTTTGTTTAGATCGTGTTGCACGGCTTTGCGAGCGTGGTTATTTAATTCTTCTAGTGAAAAGAGTTGTGGCTCGACTGAGAAAGGATTTGTTTAAACACCTAATGCATCAAGTAAACAATTTACTCAACACATATCTCAAGTTTTTTTGTTTATTTCCTTTATTCATTGCTTTAATTTTTTTTTGTTAGTCGTTCATGCATTGTTCATAACTTTTGATTAAAATGACTTATCAGAGAGAAAAACTTAAAAATATATGTTTCCTTGCTCTCTGCTAACAGGAAATAGCATTTTATGATGTTACAAAAACCGGAGAACTCTTAAGTAGACTATCCGAAGACACCCAAATCATAAAAAACGCTGCTACTACGAATCTTTCTGAAGCTCTTCGTAATGTCACAACTGGGCTTATTGGAGTTGGTTTCATGTTTACATCATCTTGGAAATTAACATGTAATAAGAAGCTTCTCTTATTTTTTCTTTTCGGGGTTTATGATTATTATTATTTTTATGATTAGGAAGTTTTGGACTGAGGCCAATGACCAGAGCATGTTATAGAGTGCCCTTTCAAGTGGCACCTGTTCTTGTAAACTCTGAGCTTTATATTTGGTTTTTTTTTCAGTCGAGCTAATGACATTTTATCTTTTTGCAAATTTGGTACTAATTGATGAAATAAACAAACTGACTATCTTCTTGTTCATCAATCATGATTTTGTAGTGTTGGCATTAGTAGTAGTTCCGGTAGTTTCGGTTGTTGTGATGCACTTCGGTCGCTATCTCCGTGAACTTTCACACACAACTCAAGCAGCAGCTGCTGATGCTGCATCAATTGCTGAGGTTATTTTTCTTCTCATATAATGTTTATCCAAGTTTTATCCTGTTAATACTTCAGATTGATTGAATCAATATTTAGGAATCTTTTGGCGCAATCCGAACGGTTAGATCTTTTGCGAAGGAAGGTTATATGGTATCACAATACTCCAAAAAAGTCGATGAGACTCTGAAGCTGGGACTCAAACAAGCTGTGAGATTTTTTATTTTATTTTTGTGTGTGTGTGTGTGTCATCCCATAATTTAAAATAAAGTTTTTGATGAGTCTTTGAGAGGATATATATGTTTTTGTTGATTTAGGTACTGGACGGGATGTTCTTTGGAGGACTAAACGCAGCTTTCACATTATCTGTTATTACGGTTGTTAGTTATGGAGCGTACTTAACAATAACTGGTTCCATGACCGTTGGAGCACTCACTTCCTTCATTCTTTATAGCCTCACAGGTTTCATTATGATTTATGAAGATATCTTGTCAATCACCAGCTCTAAGGAATCTAATCTCAATCACTTAGCAATTAGGGGATGTGATTTCAATCACCTTGAGATATTCTTTGCTGTCTAAACTGCTTAGGAAACTTCTTCTCCTTCTTGCTGGATATCAATTCATGTCCCATATTAGAGATTGAGACAAAGATTATTTATTATATAAGTCAACTCCAATTTCATAGTGTAAACTTGGCCACACGAATATGGACCCTTACTTTTAGTCTATTTGAATACCCGGAAAATGGTTTATCTATATAAGCTACACCTCTCCCAAAGATTAGTTTACGCTCTTCCTTAAGTCTAGGATTTATCTTGAGTTATCAAAAAAACCAAAAACAAATCCGTTCAGAGCAAACAATATCATAGTGATACTAATGAGCAGTTGGACAATTGGCTTAAAAAGCCTAGTAATTGGTCTTGGAAATATGTATATGAGCAATACATAAAAATTCCCAAACCTTTGATACTTGTTCAGATATATATTGTTTTTTTTTTCAGTTGGTGCATCGGTATCTTCTTTATCAAGTTTGTACACAACTGCAATGAAAGCTGCAGGCGCTAGTAGACGTGTTTTTCAGATCTTGGACCGTGTTTCTAGCATGCCAAATTCAGGGGATAAGTGTCCGGTCGGGTGAGAATCTCTCTCATATTCATGAAATTAATTTTCTATATCTTGGTTTTTATATGTCGGGAAGATTATGGTTGCAGTAATCCTGATGGAGATGTGGATATAAAAGATGTATCGTTTGCTTATCCTTCTCGCCCTAGCCACATGATACTCAAGGTAACACAAAATCTTCATTTGGTTAGACCATAATTGTAACGTATGAATATATACCCTTCAACTTGTAAACATTTAGCATGATTGAATATGTTTGGTAAAACAAATAAAGGTTTGGTTAGTCTTGAACTTTATTAATCGAGTTTTTTAACCATCCACTTAAACACCCCAAATTTGTGCAGGGTATATCGTTGAGGTTGACACCAGGTTCAAAAGTTGCACTTGTTGGACCAAGTGGTGGAGGAAAAGTAAGTTCATACCAATGCAGTTATATGTTCGTTTTTAGGGGTTTAGGCACCCTTCTGATGAGAGAAATTGCTTGCGAGGCCATATTTTTCATATTTTACATTTGCCATATCGCAGACGACCATAGCCAATTTGATAGAGAGATTCTATGATCCTGTCAAGGGAAAGATTTTGCTTAATGGAGTTTCTTTGATGGAGGTGTCTCATAAATACCTTCACAAACAGGTAAATTTATCTGATTCTTGAATCATTCATGTCTAAACATATTTGGTAGAACCTGGATCTTGAAATTCTCCATATTCGTTTCAGATCAGCATTGTAAGCCAGGAGCCGGTTCTTTTCAACTGTTCCGTGGAAGAGAATATCGCATATGGATTTGACGGTGAAGCTAGTCTTTCATATATAGAAAATGCAGCTGTAAGCACACCCCAAATCTCTATATTGAGACTCTTATTGTCGTGTGCTGATCAAAGATTCAAAATGAAAATCTTGTGTCAGAAAATGGCGAATGCGCATGAGTTCATAGAAACGTTCCCGGATAAGTATAAAACTGTTGTTGGAGAACGTGGATTACGTCTCTCAGGAGGACAGAAACAAAGGATCGCAATCGCGAGGGCGCTTCTTACAAACCCTAGCGTCTTGCTTCTTGATGAAGCAACAAGTGCACTCGACGCTGAAAGCGAATATCTTGTTCAGGTAATAGAACATAGCTTTGGAATCAAGAACTCAGAAGAATAGAAATTCAAGAACTTGCTCATATCCTTAATCTGTTTGCAGGATGCGATGGACTCGTTGATGGCGGGAAGAACGGTTCTGGTGATAGCTCATAGGTTATCTACGGTTAAAACTGCAGACTGTGTGGCGGTTATATCTGATGGTCAAGTTGCTGAGAAAGGAACTCATGATGAGCTTCTCAGCTTAAATGGAATCTACACTAATCTTGTCAAGAGGCAACTTCAGAGTTCTTCTTCCTTTGTAACCAACTTGTGAGAATATAATTTGTCACACAACAACAACAAAGAAATTCATTAGACGAGGTGGAGGGTTATGTGACATAAAATAATGGTTTGTATCATAATGAAATATTTCATTCCAATTAACAAATTGGGACATTACATTCTCAGTGGTAATAATTGTGTACACAGTTCTAGACAGAGATATGTGGATTTGCATCGATAACCGGTCTGTCAGATTCCATTTCCAATCAATATATTCATTCTTTTTTATATAGAAAGAAAAGAAAAGGAGGACAAAGACAAATTTTCATTCTACAAAATTGAATGTTCGTCGAATCTAAAAGTCCAAATAGAAGACGAAAGAACCGACCTTTCAAAACGTTACACTTGTGTTTTTCTTGTTCTCTTTTTCTTTTACTATTCTTTCCCATTTTAAAATAAGTCTTTGCCAAATGAATTATTTCCAAATTTTGTTTGATTACCAACACGATAAAAAAAGTAATGTAAAAAAAGTAATTACCGAAAATTACAACTGACGCTATTTAGAAAATACAATGGGTAAATACATTCTTAGATTTACGTCAGATTCAAATGGTTCCAAATTATAATAATATCTAACAAGTGACGACAATGGATAAAGTTGTCGTTAGAAAAGAAAAAAAAAATCCAAAGTAAAGACATTAAAAGAATCCAAATTTGCCATGACCTTTACTTTCTTGGATAGACTATCTACCACCCAGTTTCAGTTGCGTCAATGTCTTTACGTCCGAAACAAAATCTCGAACTTCGTTTCTAACACGCTATCTTAAAAGTTAAGACTCCGTATCATTTATATACACACACAAACAAAGATTAAAATAATAAGACTCCGTATCATTTATACACACACGAACAAAGAATTAGGGGTACGTAATCCATAATTAGTTACAACGGAAATTTTGTGATAAAGTAACCCGAAATAGCTAATACACTATCACTTCCTGAATTTTTTTTTAAAAAAAGAGTTAGAAAGTTATCTCCCTATAAATTTATAGAGAAAAACACCTACAAGCCTGAAAGTAAAATAAGCATACCCCAAAAATAAGTTAAAAGTAGATTTTTATATCTTTTGGTTTGTCGTAATTAATTCATAACCAGAGGAAACTGGATCGAAAAACAAAATATATTGAAAATTACCGAATACTGTCAAATTTTTTTTGCAAAAACTGAAATGGTTGAACTAGGTTTCTGAACTGGTCGTCGTTATGTTGCTCTCGGGTAAACAAAAAAATTCATATGCATGCTCCATCACAAAACAAAACTCTCATACTTTTCGACCATACCGATAAAATCAAATTGCTTCCAAATATAAATTAACGCATGATACTATTTTCATTGTGTTTAATTTTAAACTTGGTCCATTAACGGTGAATTTTGTATCAAATATCAATCATATATGTTCATGTGCATGTTTACAGTCAAACAGACATTTTTTTCCAAAAGCTTCGACCTCCGTCAAAAACATTTCGGATTTGCATTAATTAGAAAATGTTAAAAACACAGTAAAGTTGAATGATATACAGTTCTATCATGTTTTTACGTTTTAAAAATATAATTCCACCAAAATACATATCATTCATAATATTAAGTACTAAATAATAGAAAAGTAAAAATTAATATATTATTTTTCAATTAATTCTGCATGTTTTAAATTTATAATTAATTTAGCAAAAAAATATTGTCTAATAGATATTGTTAGGACCCAATTACCGGGTCGAATGAAGACTTGTCATATAAGCCTAGGCTATAACGAATGCTGACACATGCCATGCTAGCTCGACCGACTCTTTCTCGCGCACTGTACTGGGGCAGTTAGCGGGCTTTCCCTAACATGCCAGAATGATAATTCCCACCTGCTTCCTGGATACGTGGTTCGGAAAGGACAAAACAAGGGAATGACGAGTATAAATAGATGGATAACTCCTCGAAGGAAGGGAGGAGGACAAAGGGAGGACCCATCTCTCGACGGCTGAGACAATATTCCCGGCCATGCAGCAAGATCACAGATAGACTCCATGTTCCTCTCGGGTGATTGCCGACCAGGTTAAGTTATCTCTGACTTGGAAGCCTGCCTTTGTACCCGCTGCATTCCCCCTTTTGCGAGTAGAAGCCCCTCTTGAAACACTCTAAACCAGATAGGAGTCTTTATCTTCGGACGAGTCTACTAACGATTAACCCATAGAAAACTTCCCCCTCCAGAGTACTTGTTCCCAGTAGGACGCTCACTAACTTGGGTGTCGGAGAACCTTAAGGAGGGAAACCCCCTTTCGGTCCTCCCCGAAGGCTCGCTTGACGTTTGTTTAAGTGTTTTCAGGATCGAATACGATACATGCCCCGCCGCATCGCGACAGGAAGCTTCCGCTCTGGAACGATGATTCGCCACCTTTCCTCCCAGAGGACAAAACTCAAAGACCCGGCTCCACCCCCCAACGAATCATGACCCCCACGTAGAATCCCGAAATTTGCTCCCGAACAGTTGGAGCTAGAAGGAGGGAGGATCACCGACGGACGTTCCACGAATGAAGCAAAGCATCCGCAGATAGCTGTGCAGAGCGCGTGGGTCGAGCAGGCTACGGTTCTGCTCAACTGTCCACCGGTGACTCGCTTCACGGATTCGGAGTCTTGGTTTCGGGGCCAATGCCCACGAAGGAAGCAAAGCATTCGCAGATAGCTGTGCGGAGCGCGTGGGTTGAGCAGATTACGATTCTGCTCAACTGTTTCGGGAGCTCGGGACCATTACGCGTATTAGCCCCGAAACCGAGCCTCTGGATCCGTGACGCGAGATAAGACACAAAAAGGTGCAAAAGACAAAGCTAGACGAAATAAGTTAAAGCAACGTTACTTAAAAAAAGAGGGCAAGCCAAAGCGGCCACCGGTTTGAGTTCGAAATTGAAAGTTACAAGGGGAACGAGTCCCCGAAGCAGAGATAATTTAAAAATCCAGCGGACGCGAAGGTCCCGCCGACGAAGAAGGGCTCGCGCCCCTAGCGTCTCTGTCTGCACCCGAATTGTCCAGCTCTGGCGACCTGCCACACGTCCGCTCTTCCTCAAGCTCCTGCCTCATCATGCAAATCATGGTCTGGCTCGTCGAGAAAGCATCAACCGCCATCAGCGCCACGTTCACCTCAGCCCCCGGGGTGAACCCCTGGTACACCGTGCGGGATTGGCGAAGCATTTTCACTTCCGAGTTGCGCGCTTCCAGATCTTGTTGGCTATCGGCAAGCGTAAGGATAGGCGCTCCATCTCCGCGCTAAGATCCTCTCCACAGACAGAAGTCTGGGCCTTGGTGAGCTGGTCTCGGGTCACCAAGAACTCGGCTTGAAGCTCGCTAGCTCTGTCAGCAAGGCCGCGTTTGCGATGTTCGGCCGTTTGAAGTTTGTGCTCCAACTTCTCGAGCGAGCACTGGCTCTGTCGAAAAGCAAAATGGCACATTAAGAACATGTAAATAACCGGGAAGCAAAAGAAGACATCCCGAGAAATTAGCTTACCGCGTCTAGTGACTGGGTGAGCTCCGAGGTGGTCAGCCACCAGCCGGTGAGCTCTCGGGTCGAGCAGACAGTCAGACGAGGAGGCACGAACATCGGCTCTGACTCCGAGTAGACACTCATCGCCTTCGGTGAGGCCGGGGAATTAGGGACTGGGGTGGCGGCTCACATGGCCCTAGACCTATCGACGGTCCCTAGGTACTCTGTAGAGTCGGAATCTGCGGAAGCCTCATCGCTGGCAGTTGAAGCTGACTCCGAGGAGTAATAAGCGGGAAGGACCGAAGAGGGTCCCGGGGACCACGTAGATCTCACTGTAGGAGATCTGACCAAGCACCGACAACGCGTCGGTCGGGACGAGGCTTCCCCCTCGGGAGAGTCCGCTCGGGACCTTCGGCATGGCTTTTGGATGGGCGTCCTCCGCACGGCCCACGAAAACCTCGCTGGGGGCAGGCGGCCGTCAGGGGCGTAATCCTCCCAGACCTCCTAGATCCGACTCTGGGAACCTACAAAGACAGGATTCGTAGGTAAAGACCAAGAGACCAGCGCAAGACCAAGGACGGAAGAGTCGGAGTCACTACCTGGAACATCCGGGGTCAAGCCAGACGGGAGGATGAGCAAACTCGTCCCAATGCTCGGCGGGGAGAGCAGGAAGTCAAGCGGTGCAGATCGACCCGCTCTGAAGCGGCCGGCGTCCTGGAACCTGAAAAGAGAGACAAAACGGTGATAAAAAGACGGCCGACTGACTAAACTCATAAGAAAGAACACAGCGGTAGCAGAAGAATCTTACCCCTCGGCATCCAGGTAAGATGGACGTTGACTTCCGGCAGCACCGTCCAGAAGATGTATCGCTCCTTCCAGTTGCGGCTCCCAGAGCGGTCACCCACGATGGGGGCAGTGCACCTGTCCGAGTGTGCAGGTGTAGCGAAGAGCGTCAGCGGTAAGGCTCCAAAGCTGGTAAGACAGCAGCACCGTAGACCCTCAGACCCGGACCCCGGATAAGTTTGAGAGGACTTGGAAAGCGCATAGGAGCCCCAAGGCGGAAGGGTGGACCTAACTGGGGCAGATGCCGGTGAACCGGTAGAAGTCGACCACCATCTGAGGGAGGCTACCCCAGAAGCCGTAGTGAAAGTAGTCGTCATGGATCGCGATGCAGCGGCGCAGAGGCCGGTCTGTCTGTTCCCACTCACCGGGGAAGATAGAGTTGATCCCGGAGGAGTAAGGGAGGTTGGCCAGAAGAACTCTCTCCAGAGAGTCCGGCATGCAGTAAGAAGGAGGTCGGTCCGCAGGGTTGGACGCCGAAGGGACCCCGGCGATATTCTCGGCCTCACCCTTGGCCCAAGGATAGTCTACCGGAACCGGCTCTGTTGGCATTCTGGTGGTGTTATGCACCTTACCGTCGGCCCAGGAGTAGTGGACGCGCCACATGTCGGATGAAGAACTAGAAGCAGACATCTTAGATTGAACGAAAAGAAAGGTGTGTAATAAGAAAGAGAAGAAGCAGTTTGAAGAAAGAGAGTTCTGAGATTTGCTCCAAAAATAGAATAAATCTGCAGAACTGCGAGTTTCCCAATTTTATAGAGGAAGAAGAAACCGAAGAAGCATGCGAGAGGAATCGCATCGGTCGGAGAAAGCCAAAAGTCCATAAGAAATGAACAGTCTCTCAAGCCGTGCATGGGATGTGACGCGCATTTAATGCAAAGAGAG